GACATAGGTCCGGTGATCCGCGGAAGCAAAGTCGGCACATTTATCAATCGATAACTATGGGCAGATGGTCTGATGCTAGGGTCAGCATAGGTCGCCATGATACGCTGTTGATCAGACCAGCGCTGACAATTGTTAGATCTGGCGAGCTGCCCATAATCCTGGTGGGTGCCTCGTCGTTCATTGTGCAGAATGTCGAATCGTCTATCTGCTCAGCCAGATGTATTCACCTCTGAGTAGCGCACATATTTCAGGGTGATATCCTGCCGGGCAGCTGGTGACAATGGTATGTATACGTTAAATATTTCGAGCTCAACATCGCCTGACCGGATAGCAATACCCTGAAATTCTAGGATGGTATCCCTGCGGTCGATGTCTGCTTCAATAAGACGATACTGCGTGGTGTGTGGTGTGGTTATGGACCGCTAAACCTCCACCATTTTCTCGCTCGCGATCTCGACGGTGCACGTTGTGCACGGCGCAATTCAACAATGTGCCCTAAAATGGCACCAGCCAAGGCAGGAGTTGCACTTGACTGATGTCACGTTACGGTATATTCTGGACTGACAAACCGAGCAGATTGTTGGAGGGACTACGAGTTGCCGGCGGCGGTGTGTGGGTGCTATTGTTTGTGTGTGTGTTTATTGTTGTGTTGTTGGGGTGAGTGTGTTGGTTGTGTTCTGCACGGGCGGATGGTGGTTTGCCGTAGAGGCGGTCCGGTTTGCACAGCATGGGGCCACGAACGACGAGGTCCATTGCCGGTGCGTACGTAGGCCCGAGCAGTTGCGGAGGTAACTCTACCCGTCACAGGCATTGCACCTGGCCGAGGTGGATTTATGTGCAGTCGTCTCTGTCATACGCAGCAGGTGTAAGTTTCTGGCCCTGGGTTGGACTCAATGCAAGCCCTGAGCAAAAGGGTACGGAGCAAATGTAGCCCTTGAATAGAGCAACGTTTGACGGATTTCGCCGACCTAAACGGGGTTAGATCGCCGAAACAACAGCCCTTGGTTTGGTAAACCAAGCAGTGAAGGCGCTTCCAACATAGGTTATCTGTGGCCAAGAGTGGATCACATACACTCCCTAGTCCCGGGATCTATGGAGTCTAGGGTTATTCGAGGTGTTGTGACCAGCTGAGTGCAAAATAGAACTACCGGTCGCAGAGCTATAACTATATATCTATCTATTATAGTGTGAGATACCATGATAACAAATCGTTGGTGTCTGTCGTGGCGTTAAGACGTGTTTTGCTCGCGCTCTGTAAAATTAGTTTTGCTTATATTTTTTGTGAGGTTAAAATTATCATGCCGATCTGCATAACTTGCAAGCTGAAGTGTGTGACAGGTGATCATGTCGTTCCCACGACAGTCGGGTCTACGTAACCGGAACGACCCAGATTTATATTTGGCCAAGGACTGTCACACCAAAAACTCTTTGGGGAATTAGTATGCTGCTACAACAACAACAACAGGTGATCACGTTGTATGTGGCATTTGCTGCAAAAAAGTGCACTTGAAGTGTACTAAGTATCTACTAGTTGCTTGAACTTACTCAACATTAATAAAAACATTTTCTTCAAATGCAATATTTGTATAAATTGCTTGCCTGAAATAAGCCAAGATAAAATTGATGTCGCTTAAAAGCCTAAACAATCTAAATGAAAGTTTAAATAATCTAAATGATTTTGTGAAGACAATTGCAAATTTCAATCTTCGTGATAATAATAACTCAATGACAAATAGCAAAAACTCATCTACCTGTGACAACAACATTGTAACTAGATCCAAGGCCAAGGGCATCGACTCCGCTGGCAAGTGCAAGAGTTTCGTTTCTAATGTGCAATCGCCTTCGCCATCAATTGAAAGAGAATCTTCTCTTACTAAGAATTCTGCAAAAAACAATCGGCAAACGCTCAATAGCCCAAAAATTGTTTCTCCCGCTAATTTGAATCTAATGTCTATACAGGCAATAAGTGACGATGATGGCGCTGTCGCTCTTTCAAGTGATGACGTCAATTCCATACCTTTCCGCTATGCTGATGCTGTTAATACTTCCAGCTCTGATAAAATCGACTCGGATAACATCCAGCTGTCAGCGAAGCCTACTCTAACTAATAAGAAAAATGATGTGAAAGGGAATGATGAGAAAAGAGCTGTTGTTGTTGGATCGAACACGAGCAGCGAGCTTGGCGTAGCAGTTCGACTTAAGTGGCTGCACTTATCATCGTTTAAGCCTACTGTTAAAAGCGAAAATATAATTGCATACGTTTCGAAGCACGCACATATTAAACCTGAGTTGTTATCTTGCTCTAGTTTAGTTAAGAGAGATATGCCCGTTGATTCACTCAAGAGTGTGAACTTCAAATTAGGTATCTCTTCGACACATTACGAAAATCTTTTACAACCAGCTATTTGGCCTCCAGGTGTAAGAGTACGGCCCTTTCATTTCATCCAAAAAACTGTATCACCAGAGTAAACCGTGTTGCAACGCTTTATATGGTGGAGCTTGCGACACTGAAACTAATGCCTGCAACAATGAATACTTATTGTATTACCAAAATGTAAGTAGAATGCGTACAAAAACATCTGATTTCCTGCGTGTTATATCACTTCATGAGTATGATGTCATAGCCCTCACCGAAACATGGTTACACGAAAACATACTCTCATCTGAAATTTTCGATACTTATTACCAAGTCTTTCGCCTGGATCGCTGTCCAACTGCCTCTGGCTTAGAAAGAGGAGGAGGAGTACTAATTGCAGTTAGAAGTGAGCTTCGTAGTGATAGTGTTTCTTTAAATCTTTTTGATAATCAGATTGAACAAATTTGTGTTAAAGTAACATTCTCTAAAAATAAATGTATAGATTTTTGCTGTCTTATATACCGCCGAATAGTAATATGGAAATTTATAGTATGCATTTAGATAATCTAAACTCTGTATATGATAAATCAAAAGAAACTATTTACCTCGGCGACTTTAACTTGAGTAATATTTCGTGGCTTTGTGATGGAAATAATTTAGTACCTTCTAACTTAAAAACCGACATTGATTACAATTCATAAGCAATTTATTATCTTACGATTTTTATCAAAAAAATTCTGTTTCCAATAGTTTAAATAGAATACTTGATTTAGTTTTTTCTTCAGCTGAACTTAATGCATCTTGTGAAGAATGTCCCTCGCCGATTTTAAAAAATACGTTTCATCATAAAGCACTGTTAGTAAAATTTAATTTTTATGATTTTAATAAAATGTCTCGAGTCGAGACCATCAAACTTGATTACAATAAAGCTGATATATCCGCCATCAACAAATTTATTCAGGATACGGATTGGACTTTTTTGAACACTTTCGATGACCCTTCTCTATCTTACAGAATTGTTTGTGAAAAATTAGCATATGCAATCACTTCATTTGCCCCACATAGTAAAGTCCCTCGCCATAACAAGCTACCATGGTTTAACACAAAACTTTGTCACTTAAAAAATGCAAAACGCAAAGCTTACAAAAAATATACTTCAACAAAATGCGAAGTTGACCATCAGAAATTCATTCAACTAAGAAAGGATTACGATTGCTTTCATAAGTTTTTATTCAAACAATACATGTTCAGAGTAGAATCAAATTTAAAATCAAATCCATCTAGCTTCTGGCATTACATTAATACCAGGAGGAAAACTAATGGATTTCCGGTCACCCTATATTATGAAAACGCCCAATCAGATAATGCAATTGACTCCTGCAATTTGTTTGCCAAGTTTTTTCAAACTGTTTATGAGAAATTCATACCCACTTTTCAGCATACTTATGAAGAATCACCGATCGAAACATTTGAAAGTTTCATCATTTCCGAAGACGACGTAAAATATGCAATTTCCATACTTAAAAACAATCCAATGGCGGACCATGAAGGTTT